TTTTAAGCATCGTTTGATCTATCATGTTCTTGATTCTTTTCCATATTCTCTTCCTTTAAAAGGGCTATAAAAAGCATTTTTCAAGCTTCCTCCTTTCATTTATGGATCACACACGTATAAACATATTTTGTCCCTATTTTATTTAAATAAATATTAGAATTTTAGTAAATTTTAATAAAAAAAATTAATAAAATATATGGTTAAAAGGTTATATATCCATAAAATATGTGGTTAAAATTATTAATGATTTTGATTTAAATCTTAATCATTTTTTTAACTAAATCAAACAACGGTTTTGCTTCAAAAGAAAAGACTTTTCAAGCACAAGAAGCAGCAAAGTTTTAAAGTTGTCCTCGTCAATAAACAATATCCACTATCCCAATTCACCTTTCGAAAAAGCATCAAATTAACTTAGGTTAAAGTGCACGTGTATATCCCGTATTTGAATTATGAAGTTGAAGAATCATATGTGAAAATACGTAGTTCGACACAAACTACACCTAGATGGGGTGAATATGTGTAAATGCGGAATTAAAAATTTATAATTAATAGCAGCAATTCACTAATTAATTATCTTTAGATGATTAAGCATACAAGTCGATTTAACCTACGTTTAAATACCACAGTTAATATAATCAATAATGAAAGTAGCAAGAACACACGGTATGATCACGGAGAAACCCCAATAGCGTAAAANGAATTAAAAATTAATAATTAATGGCAACAAGTCACTAATAAACTATCTCTAGATGATTAAGCATACAATCCGATTATTCTATATTTGAATACCGCATAATATAATAACAGTAAATAAAATAATAAATAACGCACGGTACGATCACGGAGAAACCTCAATTGAGTAAAAACTCCGAACACTTTATCAGTCAACAATCCATTATAAACAATTTATAACTTACAATCTACCAGACTAGACGATGACACGTACTATCTGATCTCCTGACTGCAATTCAAATAACTCTCTTGGGTTTTGTGCTCTTGTACCACTCCCAGCTGCTATTTCCAAAATTCTCCTAAATTGTGTTCTCCTACAGCAACTCTTAATTTTGTGAAATCGTTTCTCATGTGGATTCACGAAGAATATCACGTTCTTCAATTATTGAAACTCCAGTTACATTCCCTTTATCTTCAGAAACTCTGACGATATGAAGGGAGCAGCAGTTTGGTATTTGGAATATGAATTTGATGTTTTCACTGCCAAAAGCCAAATCAAGATGATGGTTGAAAGCAATTATGTAAACGTGATCTCAAAGGAATATGTTTCTCTCAATGCTCACAATTCACGTTCTGTGGCGTTTGACTATTTATATGTAGGTTAGAGAATGAATGACCTGGACAAAAAGCCTTAAAAAAACGAAATAAATATTTCTTTAATGACACTGTCGCTCGAGCAAAGGTGAGGCGACGTCTCGCATTGAAGTTTTTGTTTCTGACGCTTGAGCTAAACCTTGGCCAAAAGTTAGGGAAATTCCGCGCTTTTTTCCTTCTTTCCCACTCTCCAACCCTAGATCTAAAATATCATAAATTTCACTAATTTGCACAATGCTCTTTGACTTTTTAGAACATATCAAATTTAGTTATTTTTGTTCACAGAATAGCCAATTACATTAAATACCTAACAAACTCTCCATTTGACATTTTATGACAAAACAACTATCTAAGTCAATGCATTATAAAATAAATTACAGACTCAAAACAACAGACACAACCAATAACTGTTTTGAACGAATTCTGCATTTCATTCTTCAATACATGTTTCCTGAAATAGACAGCTCAACTACCCAGTGTAAAATGTATGTAAAACAGTATTAAGTATAAAAACCGTTCAAACAGTTCACAAAGTAAAAGTGATTCATAATACATCTGTTCAGTTTCATATCATATGCTAAATTAAGAGGTGATATCAATGCAACCCAACATATCAAAACGAAACATTGATACTACTAAAATATAAAAAATAAATCTAGCAAAAACTGAAAATATATCGTATAATCAAAATAAAAAAATTTAGATACTTAGATACATCAAGTAGATAAAAAACATATACATCCTTTTAAACAGTCGGCCTGCGCCGGCTGTTTAGGTCGGAGATCGCCATTTATCGACTGTTTTGGTCGGAGATCGTCATTTTCGGTGATCTCCAGCAATAAAAACCATGTTTTCCTCCCAAAACATGTCCAAAATCTAATATATTCAAGAATCTACCTAAATAATCAACAAATAAGCTAAATAAATGTTAAAATTAAGCAACCATCTACACTTTATATGAAAAATACATTTCATAGTAATCAAAACTAACCTTGTTGATATGATGGTGACTGGGTTCTGGTCGGCGCTAGCCAGTAGATATGGTGGTCGGTGTTGGTTTACTATTTC